TTTTTATTATTTATTATTTTAACGACTGCACTGTGTGCCACTGATGAAGTAGCATGGAAGTTGCCGCCCGATCTCTAGCAAAGAGACTCGGTGTTCCATTTTTGCCTAGAGACTCGAGCATCGTAGATCATTTGGCAGGGCATTGTCGTCCTTGCTGGCTTGACCGACTGGATGCCCCCGGTTGAACTTGGCCTCAAACTTGAAAATGTGCGAAGAAAAGGAGGAGGGGAGAGCCTTTGTGGTCGCCAAGTTTATGGCTGTGTCTTTGTTTGTACACAGTGGCAGCGATGACTTCCTTTATTCAGTTGTTCACAAACCCTTCTCGAATTTCTCTCCTCTTTTTCTCCTCTTTTTTGCATGTTGCTGGGCAGGAATTGTTTTGTTTCATCTGGCGCATCTCTTGATGCAGTGCAGGACATTGTGTGTAGTCGTAAAGAGCCATCTTCGGCGAAGTTTGCTTCATTTAAGTTGCTGCCGCTTTAATGAGCGGACGTTGAAGTGGTTGTAGTTGTAGTGTTGTAATTGTAGTGAAAGAAGAAGAAGAAGAAGAAGAAGAGGAACGAGCTTTGGGCGGCACTTGCTCGCGCGCGAGCTTGTCTGCGAGCTTGATTAATTTGAATTAATTGTCGTACTGCTGTTTGCTGTTGTTTTTGCTGTTGCTGCTGGTGAGGACGGTTAATTTGTGGACTGATCATCATCATCATCATCAGCACTATTAATATTGTTGACTACAACCATTTTTCCACATTTCATTTTTTTCGCAGATGTTTATGAAGATGATGGCGCTGCGTCAAAAAAGTCGTTTCCATCGACTTTGCTTCTTTTTTACTTTTTGCACTCTTTTGCTCTGCTTTTCAGGCCTCGTACAGGCGGCAGATGATAATGGTAAGCCCTACTTTTGTAATTGGAGAGCAAGGTCGACATAACGCCTTTAATTTGCTAGAAATCGTCGACCTTCCTGAATCGAATGACAACCTCAATGACACCTTCTACCTGGTGGACCTTCGCAGTTCCAGTGGTAACGGTAGCCGGCGACTGGAGTCGTTAAATAATGAAACAGCCGTCACCACAAGTCCGTCACCCCCAGCAGCTGTGCCCTTTGTGGATGACTTTTGGGACTCTCCGCCGCCGCCGCCATCGGTAATCACCACACTGGCCGCTCCTGAGGTGATTGCTTCGGATGATCCCTCGTCAATCATCACCACCGGAAACAGTAACAACGACAATGAAGTGAACATGGTGACCTTCCGCGTGACCGTCACCTCGACACCGGCGCCTGTGACGACCACTTCCAGTCCAGGGGCACCTTCAACACCTGCTTCATCACCCTCGACAGTGTCTTCTTCTACGAGGCGGCCAAGCAGTATCAGCACTCCCACCACCACCACCACCACCACCACGACCACTTCAGTGCCCTCCTCGACGGTGGCCACCCTCCGCCTGCACTCAAACACCGTCACGGTGAGACCTAATGAGGCCATTCGAGTGTACTCTCCACTGACATCGGCTTCCACGACTTCAACAACGACGGCCATGTCGACAACGTCTACCACGACCACCACCACCTCTACTACAACTACAACGACTAGAAAGCCGACGACGACCACCACGAAAAGGGCAAAGAACAAAATCAACTACAGCTTCAACTCGGTGGAGCGCATTCCCGTGGAGGGTAATGAGGAGGAGAATGCGGAGAGTAAGGAGATCTGGAAGATGACACTGCACGGCACGAACATGAACTCGGAGGAGCTGCGGATGTGCAACAAGACGCTCCTCT